AATTGAATATCCAAAGCTATAAACCCTAGATCTAATAAACTATAACTGAAATTAGGGTTTAGATCTTACCTTTGATTGTTATATAGCAATAACAATCAATCCTTGGCTTCAGAAAGCTTAGTGCCTCAAGTGCTGCACCTCTAATGGAGTCACAAACACCACTAAGCAACTTGGATGAAGAGGGAGGAGAGGGGAGGCACCAAAAACGGCTGGAAACCCTAAAGGAACACTTAGCCACGTTTTTGGGTCTCAAGGGTTCTTTAAATAGGTAGGCAATTAGGGTTATCTAACAAGGAAACCCTAATTTGACTGCTTAAGCCCTAAGCAGCCCATGGACCCCTTCTGGAACATGCCTTGGGCGATTTCTAATGGGCTTCCCCATAGAATTCGTCCAACCTATTATTCCAAGGTGATCCATAGCCCAATTGCAATTATCTTATAATTACAATTCCAGTCCCCTAAGTTTAATTAATCTCTTTTAGCCACAAAATTAATTCTTTATTAATTCTTGACTAATATTAATTAAACAATATGATTTCTCCTTTAATATATTATTCTCATAATATATTAATAAATCATAATTAAACCTTTCTCTCCTTAATTCATCCTACATATTGCTATGGTGAAGGCAACCCAAAAGGACCATGCTCACAATCGGGTCAAGTACATACCAAAATAGTTATGGACTTAGACACTAATCCAATAGTCTACCCTACTACCATGCCTGCTATTTACAAAGATGGGGATGACACACATTCCATTGGTAACGAACATGGGTCTCGGCAAGAAGCAGGAGGATCTCAGGGAGCACGTTGAAATACCTCACGAGGTGGCAATAATGGGGGTGGTCGAGGACGCTCAAACAATAGAGGTGGAGGATGAGGAAGGAACAATCACAGAGGTGGAGGCTCTTCCCCACAGTACCCTTCACAGATGAGTCGTCAACCTCAATGGCCATGGCCTTGGGGTACATGGTCCATCCCTCCGTGTCCGTTCCCTACTGCACCATGGATGAGATCAAACAGTAGCTCACATCAAGGAGTCCTTAGTCAAGGTCCAAAGTCACAACAGGCATACACTGCTACTGGTACATCTCAGTCAAACTCTCCGTAATCACTATCCCTCATTGACATTGAATCTGCAATGTACACTCTGGGATTGAATCCACCAGATCCTAACTGGTATATGGATACAGGAGCTTCCTCCCACATGGCATCAGGTACAGGTAATCTCACGTCTTATTTTAATTTGAGCAACAAACAAAATATCATTGTTGGTGATCGCAAGTTAGTTCTAATTCATGGTTATGGGCATTCTACTCTTAAACATCCTCATTCTCAGTTCACCTTGAAAAACGTCCTCCATGTTCGCCAAATTGTAAAAAATCTTGTTTCTGTAAGAAAATTTGTCAATGATAATCACGTGTCTGTTGAATTTGACCCAGGGGGCTTTTCTGTGAAGGAATTACAGACGAGAGTCCAGCTAATGAGATGTGACAGTCAAGGGGAACTCTATCCGGTCACCACTAGAGCTGCTCCTCATTCTGATTTTTCTGCTTTCGCTCCAAGCCTATGTCATGCTCGCTTAGACCATCCCATAGCTCCAATTTTTCAATTTCTTAGCTCAAATAATGACATTCAATGTAATGCTCTTGATAATAAAGTTTTATGTCCTTCTTGTCAATCTGGGAAGAATGTTAAATTACCATTTGTTTCATCTACTTCATACACTGTTATGCCATTTGATATTATTCATGCTGATATTTGGACATCACCTGTTGTGAGTTCCATGGGTCATCGATTTTACCTTGTGATGGTAGATGATTTTACCAACTTTACCTAGTCGTTTCCTTTAGCCAAAAAATCCCAAGTCCTATCTGTGTTTAAAACTTTTCATGCCTTTGTTGAAACACAATTTACTTGCAAAATAAAATCCTTACAGTGTGACAATGAGGGTGAGTTCAATAACACTTTGTTTATGGAGTTTTGTAAAACAATTGGGATTGCGTTTCGGTTCTCGTATCCTCATACATCACCACAGAATGGAAAAGCAGAACGTAAACTGAGAACACTAAATAATGTGGTGAGAACTCTGTTAACTCATGCTTCTATTCCACCATCGTTTTGGCCTCATGCCTTGCAACATGCCCACATATTTACACAATATTTTGCCAACTAAATTTCTAAATAATAAATCTCCCTTAAAATGCCTTTATCAAAAAGATCCCTCATATTTAGAACTTAAGGTTTTTGGTTGCTTGTGTTTTCCTCTATTTCCGTCTACTACCATTCACAAACTCCAACCCAGGTCTTCACCATGTGTATTTCTGGGACATCCGGTCTCACAACGTGGCTATAAGTGTTTTGATATGTCAACAAACAAAATAATTGTCAGTAGACATGTCATGTTTGATGAGACCAAATTTCCTTTTTCTTCACTTCATAGAACATCATCTAATTCTTATTCATTTCTGGATGATGACATTTCTCCATACGTGTATCAAGATGAATACATGGTCTCATCTTCTCCTGGTGTTTTCCAGCCTACAAACTCTCCACCAGCGTGTACCCCACCTGTTTCACCATCTCCTACACCTCCTAATTCACCTCAGGCAATCCCTCTTACACCTCCAATTCCTCCATCTACTCGACCTGTCACACGAAGTCAACATGGAATTTTTAAACCCAAAATTCCCTTTAATATGTCCACTTCGGTCTCTCGTTCACCTTTACCAAAAAATCCTGTTATTGCCCTTCGTGATGTGAATTGGAAACATGCTATGGAAGATGAGTTTAATGCTCTAATGAAAAATAAGACGTGGGAACTTGTACCACGACCACCAAATGTTAATATTATTAGGTCTATTTGGATTTTTGCTCATAAAGAGCGTTCTGACGGTTCATTTTAGAGGCATAAAGCCCGTCTTGTAGGTGATGGAAAAACACAACAAGTTGGCATTGATTGTAGGGACACATTTAGTCCAGCGGTGAAGACTGCGACTATCAGAACTGTGCTGGGTATTGCTTTATCCAAATCTTGGTCTATTCACCAATTAGATGTAAAAAATGCTTTTTTACATTGAGAACTGAATGTGACCATCTATATGCATCAACCATTGGGGTTTAGAGACAAGTCACATCCAGATTACGTCTGTCTATTGAAGAAGTACCTATATGGACTCAAACAAGCCCCACGGGCTTGGTATACACGCTTTGCCAATTATGTTCAGAAAATGGGATTTGTACACAGTGTGTCAGATCACTCTTTGTTTATCTATAAGAATGGAGCAGACATGGCATACCTGTTGCTATACGTAGATGATATCATTCTAACAACATCATCTGATAATCTACGTGCATCTATTATCTCACAACTCAATTCTGAATTTTCTATGAAAGATTTGGGTCCATTAAGCTATTTCTTGGGAATTTCTGTCTACCGCCATCAACATGGTCTTTTTTTTATCTCAACGGAAATATGCAGCTGAAATTATTGACCGTGCCGGTATGTCGACTTGCAAACCAGCTGCTACACCCGTTGATACCAAACCCAAGCTTAGCGCCTCGTCTAGCCCTCCATATGTTGATCCGTCTCATTATAGGAGTTTGGCAGGAGCCCTTCAATACCTAACGTTTACTAGACCTTTTATCATGTATGCAGTCCAACAAGTATGCTTATTCATGCATGATCCCCGTAATGAACACATGAATGCTTTAAAACACATTCTCAGAATGTTCAAGGGACTTGGAGTTTGGTTTACACATTTATCCCTCCTCCTGTTGATCTCTTGTCTCCTTCACAGACGCTGATTGGGGAGGATGTCCTGATACAAGGCGGTCCACCTCCGGGTATTGTGTGTATCTTGGCAATAACTTGCTATCGTGGTCCGCTAAACGTCAACCTACATTGTCTCGATCTAGCACAGAGGCAGAGTATAGGGGCGTAACCAATGTAGTTTCTGAATCTTGTTGGCTACGAAATTTGTTAATGGAACTACATTGTCCAATTCAGAAGGCTACCATTGTTTATTGTGACAATGTAAGTGAAATATATTTAATCGGGAATCCAGTTCAACATCAGCGGACGAAACATATTGAGCTGGACATACATTTTGTGAGAGAAAAGGTGGCAAAAGGACAAGTTCGTGTGCTACATATCCCATCTAGACATCAGATTGTAGATATTTTTACCAAAGGGTCCATTAGTTCTTTTGGAAGATTTCCGAGCCAGTCTCAACATACGTGCACCTCCAGTTTCGACTGCGGAGGTGTGCTAGATATCGAAGATATTTTGTATTTATTAGTATATAATCTTTGTATATTTAGAGATAATTATGATTGATTAGGTATCCCTTAATTTGAGGAGCTTCCATTCTGGATTGGATCCTGGTGTTGTATATATATCGAGGTTTTCTAATGAGAAAGGGGGAGCATTTCCGTTTTCATTAACGAAGGCATGCTAAAGATTCAAGAGAGCAAGTAGAGAGACAAAAAACACAAGGAGAAGCCGAGAAGGTACGTTTTCACTATGCTTAATAGATTTGTACATAGTATTCTAACAGGTGTACCTCTTAATTTTCAATAAATGGGCAACATGTTTAATAATATAGTAAATGTATATATATATATATATATATATATATATATATATATATATATATATATATATATATATATGAATTAAAAATTAAAGTATGATGTTATAACTCAAAGTACATTGCTTAAATAAGACAATAACATATTTTTTTGATGGATAACCCAAATTATAAAATGTTTCAACTTCCATAGTATAAAGGGAATAATTTATATCAAGTGTAATGTCTTTATAATTGCTAACATGTTTTATTTTCAGTGTTTTTAACTATTTTGAGGTAAAAAGCTTATTGAAGGGGTATATGTGGAAATTCAGAAGATAAACATTTTAACGGTATGTCCAACAACTAAACCATTCAACACAAGTTCGAAGGACTCGAATCATTTAATGACAGGACACTTCATATATTAATCAACACATATACACTTCCAAAGATCAGCATCCTTGGATCGAAACTGAACTGCAATGTCAAGAGCATTTGGAAACTTGCTAGCAAGCAAATATGTTGGCCACTGAATTAGGTTAAGGGCTGGGATCTGAAGAATATGAAACTAACATCAGGTCCATCTCTTACATTTGTAAGCCTTTGTAACTACTTAATTGAATTTAGTAGTTAAAAAAATAAGTTAAATGATTTTATTTTTATTATTAGTGTTTATTACAACAAAATATCAAAATGACATGTAAGCTAAAACACTGAAAACGTAAGTAGGGGTAAAACGGTCCAAAATCATTAAAACAAATTACGAATATGTTATAATTGTACAAAAATGTTACATGTATTTTACTTTTACGGTTTTTAACTGTGTTTTTTCACCTAAAATTTTATTTGGTTTATTAAAAATCGAATCATGATGAAATATAGAACAATAGATATATAAAACAACTGGACATCTCCAACAAATGTTTAATAATAGATATACCACTTATGTATTTTAAATAAAGAGAAAACATTTAACTATTTAAGCATTGTACTTTCAAATATATCATCATATTTTCAAAAAAAAAAATTATGCTTTTTTTTTCCTTATTAATATTTTTATTTGACAACACATAAACATTTCAATACAAATGGGGGAGGAGGAGTAAAATGATCCAAAATCATAAACGATGCAGGAGGGGTAAAATGGTCCAAAATCATTAAAACGAATTAGGAATATGTTATAATAAGGAAAAACATATTTTTTTTGTAAATAAGAATTAAAAATTAAATTATGATGCTATATTTGAAAGTATAATGATTAAATAAGAAAAATAACATATTTTTTTTGAAAATAACCACAATGCTATAAAGCCCTTTATTGGGTTAAAAATAACATTCCTATTATATGTATAAATTCTTCGCGGGTTAGAATTTGAGAGTTCATGTTGAACCCAACTTCTTGATCATACAAGAATGTTGTAGATACAAGTTGCTCCGTATTTAGTCATAAGTAAATAATCGATTTATATATGGTTATCTCATCTACTTTTGGGAATTTAGTAATGCTTTGTTAATTGACATTTATTAAATACAACTTAATCACAAGTAGCCAACTATTGACAACAACAAACAACAAACAAATAAGGTATCCAATCATAAAGAATTGTCTTTACAAAATAGATTCATAATAAAAACAAAGCATTATTAACAAACAAACGACAAATGAAAATTTTCCTATTTTCTAAATGGGAAAGTAACCCGCAAAAAATCCGATCGAAAAGTAAAAAATTCATGACACCGATGAACCGGAATAACATGCTCAATTGAAATACCTTTATAGAAATATAGATTGTGATTTCGGAAATCCTACGATTCATGATCATCAACATTTTTGTTATTGTTAACAACCCTAACCCATCGATTATCAACCAAAAACCAAATATACCACAAACAATGATCAATTTGTAAAGCATATCCAACCTTTCCCCCAAATTTAAAAAGCCGTGATGTGTACAAACCATACACATTGTTTGTCAATGGTGGAGAAATTATTAAAAATTCTTCCGAATATGCATCAATCCACAAAATGTCACCATTTGATAATAAAATGTAAACCGCACCTCCACTTACAATTGCTTCATTAGAAACAGGACAAACAGAACATGGTAATAATATATTACCAATATCCGTCCATGCGCATGTAATGGAATCAAATATTTCCAAATGGAATTGGTCATAAACAACAAAATCATCTATAATTTCCCTACAAAAAAAACATACAAGTCATTAAATAGAATAAATGCATATGTATTGTATTATGTAGAAGAGACATCCAATGATTCCGAATATTATAATTGCATGATCTTGTATTGGCAACCATTTGAAGCATCCTTAAAAACCATAGCATACTTGCTTGTAAAGTAAGTATCATTTGCATAAGGTAAAAGTATAATTTGGAAAGTAGATACTTTACAAAGGAATAAATAGCTCGATCCAAATATAGTTGGATCAACAGTTTCACAAAGAACCATTCCATACTCAGAAGATGCTACAATTTTAGTCCCCTTTGGTAGCATATCAAAATCAAGATTCTTCGTACCACGTGACGGGGCATATTGAACTTGTGTAGTTTTCCAGGGTGTTGTTTGTTGAACAATAAAACCAAAAACAACATTTTCCCTCCTCTTGTAAACATCAACTACGTAATTTTCGTATGTAAGTTTTTCAAGATACTTACATGTACAACGTAAAAGATCGAATGTTTTTAATGTAGTTCTTGTAAGAATCTCAACTAACAGATCTAAATCCAAGTCTAGCAACTACAAAAACAACAAAAAAGAACAATGAAAAAAAAACAAAGTACAGTTCAAAGTATCAAATATAAAAAAAAACATAGGAATGGGTTAACATTTATTCTGAAATATCCAAAAAATATAAATGTACCTGTAACCGATGTGTCTTCACACGTTTAATATGTAAAGATCTAGTCAATCCATTATTACCAACAACATTTTCAGCCTGAAACGTAACTACATATGTTTTTAATGTTTATAACAACTCAGAAAACGATAATACACATAAAAAAACATGCAAGAAATTCACATAACAAATGTTTAATATAAAGACGATTTGAAGTTTACTAAAACAATGAAATTGCCCCAAGATGATGTTGTTGTTGATGATGCATTTGATATTCAGAACTATCGTTATCCATATCTATTATCAACAGGAAACAACAAAAGAGTATATAACAATGCTTTAAAACTGAATGTCGAATATATATTAACAGATTAATATAAAACTAAATTGAATGAATGATAAAAATGAGGAAGGTTAATGCAACTTGCAGAGAAGCAAAATAGGCAAAAACAAAAACCACCATAACGTACGTGAAGACTTCTGCCGAACGAACTAAAAAACTATTGAAAAGTGAAGTTGTGAAGCCGACTAAGGAATAAAATCGGTGATAATCCCTACAAATATAATCAATATAAATAACGAAGGAATTTACAATTTCGTTCCTTACAAATATTTAATTGTTTTACCTTTATTTAAAATATAGATGTGGTACATTGATTTATAAAAGCAATTACATAACCGACTCATTCTTACCTTCTCATACAAACGCAATAACAAAATAAAATCAGACGATCTATACCCCCCGACAAATTATACCAATGGCGATTTATACCCCTCCCCTTTTAAACATCTTTAACCATGTCTGACGTTCTCATTCAGCAAGTAAAAGTAAAAAAAAGTTAATGTCAGTAGTGCAACATAGAACGGAAGAACATTATTACATGAAGAACCAAACTATGGAATTAAAATATATTGCATTAAAATCAGTAAAAACACGGAGTGGGCAGGGAAAAATCTACCCAATGAAGACTTTGTTTTGGTTGCATGGATAATATTTTCTTTCCGGTATTTCAGTAATTCGTAAAATTCCCTTTGCGAAGTTTGCTAATATTTGGGGCCGTTTGACCGGTAGTGCCCCCATTAAAGACATGGTTATATATATATATTTCAAAATACATTTGTATTCTTTATGAGTCTTATAATTGTGTGTGGTGTCAGATACATTTGTGTCTTTGGTATGTACTGTTTTCTTCTATGTTGCACCATAGTATAATAAAGTGGATAATTGTTGTTTTTTTCAATTAATAATATAGTAAGGGAAATCAAAGCTACCGAACTAAATTGATTTATGAAAGTAAGTTACCGTAGTTGATAGTAGACAAGTGAAGTATGTACTAACTTTTACAAACGATGTTAATGCAACAGTTAAGAAACATGATGTACTCTGTAAACTACTTGAATGTCATTTATATGATCATAAAGTGTCACAACTGAAAGTAGGATGCCCATATGATAAACAGTTGACAATGTGTATCGTTGAAGGATTATGAATAAAATAAAATTTATACTGTTTTACGTAAAGAGAATAATGAAAGTACATTCAATTAAAGAACTTAATGTATTTATGTCAACATAACTGAAGTCAATAGGAGTGGTTACCCCCATATAGTATACAAAAACTTACACCACAAATTGAATAATGAAACATATAGCATTAGTTGATAGCATCGTCACTATAGAAAACCAAAAATTATGGTATACCAACATTAAAAAAAATCAGAGGAAAAATATAGATAAGAATGAAGATAAAAAAAATATTATATTAACAATAATAAATCAGCCAAGTATAGACAACAGTAAATAGTAAACCAACAAAGTATGCAATCATAAAAGAATTGTCAATAGAAATTGTGTTCATAAAAAAATCCCAGGAATCAACGAACAAAAGAAATGTAAAAAGTCCTATTCTCTATGTGGGAAATTAACCGGCAACAAATCCAATTGAAATGTAAAAACTTCATGACATCGATCAACCGGAACAGCATGTTCAACTGAAATACCTCTATAGAAATAGAGACTGTGATTTCGGAAAACCTACCATTCATGTGCATAAGCATTTTCATCAATGTCACCAACTCTAACCCATTGACCATCAATAAGAACCCAAACATACCACAAACAATGATCGATTTGCAAAGCATATCCCACTTTTCCCTCATATTTAAAAAATGCGCGATGTATACACAACATACACATTATTTGGGCATGGTGGTGAAATCAGATAGATTTTTTCCGAATATGCATCAATCCGCAAAATGTCACCGTCTGATAATAACATGTCAACCGCACCTCCACTTACAATCGCTTCATCCGAAACAGGATAAACAGAAAATGCAAATAGCATATAACCAACATGTGTCCATGCCCATTCAACGGAATCATATATTTCAATATGGATGTTTTCGTAAAGCACATCATCAATTCGACTACATAAAAAATATAAATAAATAAATAAATAACATAAAATAAAATAAAAACTTACAAGTCAGTAAAGGATAAAAAAATGCATATGTATGTTATCATAAAGAAGATACTTACACTGCGACAACAGTCAATTTCCGGTCAAGTCAAAATCAAATAAAGTCAACAAGTCAAACCGGTCAACTCAATTAACCCTTGTATATTAGGGTTTACATTATGTTTACTATTGTACAACACCCTATCTTAATGCAAAGTATCACTTTGAGTCTTCACGTGTTCAGAAAATCTAAACCCTAATCAGGGTAAGTGATGGAACTACTCGATAAAACATTATTACATACCCTTCGGGGACGTATAACACTCATAACGAGGCTTAATGGGATTTATAAACCTCGCAATTCGAAGCTAAACACTCGCAAAGGTCACAAACAAAGTCTCTCTCAATCTCTCACGCTCTATCTCTCTCTCTCTGAATTTCTCCCAAATCTCTCTCACAACCTCTCTCAACTTTTTATAATCACTCGGGGCATCCCGACCCATAACTTAGTCAAAAACCGCTCAAAACAGGATGTTTATGCGAAAATCAGCTATTTAGGACCGAAGCCGAAGTGTCACACCCCCGAACCAGACGGCGGAAACGTCCGAGGGCTCGCGTGACTTAAATTGTTCACATCAAGTACATTGTTTAAACATTACATACCCATAACATAAATTATTTGATAGTTTTCCAAAAGCATAATACCCTAACACACTTGGTATTACTCCTCAGCTTACCTGTTACCTGAGAATACAAGTTATTTTGAAAAACGTCAACATATGGAATGTTGGTGAGTTATAAGCATGGTTGTTATGAAAATGTTTTGTGTAGTTTATAAAACCCAGAAAATCCGATATTTTCTGAAAAAGACAATTGTTTATACCAAAGTGTGAAGATCCATAGGTTTATGCATGAATGATTTCAAAGCGTGTATAAATGAAAAGTTTTGCATTATGGTTATTGAAAAGTACAAATGAATGGTGTTGATTTCCTCGAAAAACCCGATGTTTTCCGATCAGAAAATATAATTGTTTCAAATTGTTATACCGTCACAACGAATCATTATGATTTTTCCTTGAGTACTCGGATAGTATTAGATTTGTTTATGTGAGTCGTTATAACCATGCATGATAATGACTAGTTCGTCTGTCTTGGCATTCTAACGAACGCCAAAATTGATCTTAAGAATTTGTCACCCTAGACTGGCCGAGTCTAACTGTAGAGAACAACTGAGGTGTGGGGGAGTCACCCCCGTATATGTGACAACCCGAAATTTCTATTATGTACAACATGTCAAGTCAATAGAAGTCAAAACAGTTACTGTTAAATTTTCAGACTTTTTGGAATAAGTTTGAGTATTTTAGAATTTACACTTTAGGAGATATCAGGAGAGAGGAAGCCCTAGGGTTATAGTGCGTCACTGTTATTCCTAAACTCCAAGAAATTGGAGTTTACTGCCTGAATAAAATATTTACATCCAAAAACCCTAAATTTGAGAGAATATATATGACACTTAGTCATTTTATATTATTTTTACAAATTCTCAAGAACAAATATCAAATCCTCTCAAGTATCATCCAAGTTTTATTCAAGATCTTCAATTTAGTAAGTGTTTCTAGCCCTTTTAAGTTAGTATATCACTTAATCTAGTGATTTAAAACACTTCTATCCGTTAGATCTTTCCAAAAGATCAAATCTTCAAGTTTCACCAAGAACACCAAGAACACACACTAGTGTTCTTGGACTTTTGGCTCATTTCAAGCTTCTATATTGTAAGTACTTCTATCCTAGAGTATGTTTAAGCTTGCTACACTTCATTATAACAAGAAAACACCCAAGAAACACCAAGATCAAGGTGTTTACGGTCCAAGATGTTCTTGGACCGTAAACCCTAAAAAGGGTACCAATGTGTGCCCTAGCTTACCCTAAGCCTTGGTAACTAGCATAGATCCCTTCATTGATATGTTAAGGACTTGGAAACATCAAAATACCATCATCCATAAGGGTTTACGGCCGTAAACCCAAAGGGAAACGGTATTAGGGCCGTAAACTCCATATAGGAGTGAAATGGTGCCCTAACTTCTTCGTTAGGCTTATACTTCACGAGGAAACACTTCTAAGGACTTAGAAACCTTCAAAACAACAAATGGTCAAAGGGGTGTGAGTTTACGGCCGTAAACCCCATGGGTTTACGACCGTAAACTCATGTGGTTATGGTCAAGAAACCGTAAACTCATGAAAGGGGTTCCCTTGAACCCTAAACCCCATAGCTTGGTCCTACAACACTTAGATGCAATCCTTGGGACTTATAACACTTATATAAAGTGTTTAACTTGTCTTAGGATGTCTTAACTTTATAAATTAGTTGTTTAAAGACTAATTGAATACATATATGTGTATTTATATGTTAAATAGGATCATTGTGTGTGTACAAGTCTTCACTTGACACTTAGCAATCCTATCTCTTCAGTTCATCCAAACCACTCACTACAGGTGAGTTCATACCCCTTAATTAACCTTTTAAATGTTTTTAAATGCTTTTATGGGGGGGGGGGGAATACAAGTTGAACAACTATAGTTATTATATCAATCACCTATCATTAATAACTACCAAACAAATGGTTTTCTTACTTTCCAAACTGTTAATCAAACTGTTTTACCTCAAACTACTTTACAAACTCTTTTACTTATCAAATACTTTTACTTAAACTCTTTTAAACTTATATTCTGTGTATCTATATAGATATAGTTATATAAGTAGGATTAAAAGGACTTAGAACTGCTAGCCTACCTTACTTCCTGTTCCTTGTTTGGTTGTGGACTTAGGGTATCAAGGTTAGTTGTCCGAAGGTCGTTTGAATCCTAGTTATATATTATGTATATGTATATGGATATAAAAGGTTATTTCTTTCATTCAGTTACATGCCCTTGGGTAGCAAGGGTATACAAACACGTTCATACATTGCTAGTAAGCTACCATAGGGGTAGTTTAGGAAGATACTATTACTAGAACAATGAAACATACAATGATGTCAGTTCATACATAAGTCAATTCATACTATGATGAGAAACAAACATAAAACAGAGTGATGAGAAACAAACATAATACATAGTGATGAGAAACAAACAATAGACACTATGACGAGAAACAAACATACAGGCTAGACAGAGAAAGAACACAATACAGCTAGCACACAAATCACATAACATTTACATTAATACATTTATGTGAGCCATTAAACAGGGCATGGCACTACCTGCCATGACTGTTTTTGTATCAGAATCTCCTTAATTGGGGAGCGTATGAGTTTGTGTATAGATCTATACTGGATTGACTATCCTACACCTTGCTGCTCGCTACAGTGGGACTTGCAAGTCTACGGGTGCCAAACGTCATTTTTACGGCATCTTACATTGTCGTTTTACTATTGAGTCGGTAGCAAGATACAGGCCGATCACATGTTACCTTAAAATTATTAGGCTTAAGGTAGTAGTTAGTACAACAGTAGTTATAATACAGCACTACAGTACTATAACATTTTCCCTTACATTTATATTTTGTTATTCACACAATAAACAATGATGTAAAAACTATATTTTTGGTTAATGATAGTCGGATTTGGGAAAATACACACTTTTACAAGAGATACACACACAGACACTAGATGCCTTGGTAGAAGGCTACTTTTAGTAGGAAACATAGGGTTTTCTAGGAGAGTTCAAACAAATACAAACTTTTTACAAACATATACAGTACATTTTACAAAACATCTTACAAATGCTTTCATACAAACACAGACACTAATATACTTATGATCTCACCAGCTTTAAAGCTGATAAACTCTTTCAAAATAACTTGTATTCTCAGGTCACCAGTAGACAGGTACCGGAGCCAGGTTTTGAGAAGATGGAGCTCGTTCAAGACTCATCTTATATTTTGATGTATATTGTTTTGGTGTCTTTAAAACTTGACAGAACACACTTGTATGAAATTATATTATTAATGCAATGGATGATGTTGTTGCTTGTTTACTACTTGCATTGTTGTGATACTGTACATGACGTCCTCCACCCCAGAACGTTTCCGCCGTTCATAGGTTTTGGGGTGTGACAGATTGGTATCAGAGCATTTTTTATAGTGAATCGAGTGTATCAACCCATTAAAGATATACGAACTATAAACACAAGCGGGATTTAAAATACTCTGATGAAGAGTTTATACTTTAAATAATAAAATGTTTAATAAAGTATACATACCTGCATTCATACTAAAATCAGTGTCACTAGGACAGAACGAAAGTATTACGATTGTTGGACAACACAAGTAGACTTAGAGACATATGGTCAACCCTGGGAAGATGTAGCCTGATCAACTACATTATCCGAGGAGTGATTAGCATGTGCCTAAGTATGGTTGTGAGGTTGCAACAAGTCTAAAAACTTACCAACACTACTACAATGAGAACAGTAGAACAGAACATTAAACTTAAAAATACTATAGGAGTATTTTGTGTTACAATAATTACTTATTTGAGAACTAAAGGTCTTTATTAGTATATCAATGGTTGTTTAGTGGATACACTAAGGTTATATGTACTAGGATGTCATAGACTTAGAATCTGTGATCTTTGCCTTACTTCCTGTTCCTTGTTTGGTTGTGGGCTTATGTCTTTCTACTATTCG